AATTTTGCAGATGAAATGCAAAGTGGGTTTTTTGATTGCCCTCCAATTTGTTTCCTGGCTTGGCCTGCTTCTCACTCATGAACTGGGGCAGTTTAGGGTGTGGGGAAATTATCTCCAGGGGTGAAGAGCACAGTTAAATGCCACCACCCAATGCCTGTTGAATAACTGTGGTAGGATGGGGGACACTAGGAAAATGGAAGGAAATCAGTGGTTGGGAAGTCCCTTAACAGAAGACTTTAAGTCTTCTTTTCCCCTTCTTCTGTTCTTCATTCCCTCGCCTGAAAACTCCCCTCTCTCACCCTCCTGATTTCTCATACTGTTTGAGGTATGGACACAGGTACTGAGTGCCTGCCACAATGCTGGTTGTAACCGGCAAGCCAATTGCCCTGTGCTAGGCTTTTATTGAGAATTAATAAATGTTTCCCAGAGGAAGAAAAAAAAATCCAGAATATAGGCATGTGATTAAGTGAATTTAATGTATGCTGAATTATTGATCTGCTGATTTGTGAAAACTGCACATTGGACATCAATGTTACACTTTTCATCTAAATGTTTATTTTATTTGAAATCTAATGAAGGAGAATTAGACAATGAATATTTACACATATTTTTAGTTCTGGTGGATGACCTCCTTGAAACATCACTTAAAAAAATAAGGGCTGTCTTTGAAGTTATAAGTCCTAAAGGCCCAGTGTTGCCTCTAAGTGTATAGGAGGAGATTAGTCACTTGCCCTTTCAAAACATGTCTCCATAGTTTTGTCTGCAAAATCAAGATGGTCCTTACCTGCATCACATGAGTCAGTTATGTCATTACCTCACTAGGAGGGAATTTACATCCTCCCCAGGTGAAAAAAAGCACACTTTCTTTTTACCCTTTAATCTTCTGAATTAGTTTGTATTCATGCTGCTAGGAAGAAATACCTGAGACTGGGTAATTTATAAAGGAAAGAGGCTTAATTGACTCACAGTTCTGCATGGCTGGGGAAGACTTCAAGAAACTTACAATCATGGTGGAAGGGAAAGCAAATACGTCATTTCTCACATGGCGGCAGGAAAGATGTACAGCAAAGTGGGGAAGAACTCCTTATAAAACCATCAGACTCATGAGAACTCACTATCACAAGAACAGCATGAAGGAACCAGCCTATGATGTAATCAACTTCTATGAGGTCCCTCCCCCAACATGTGGGGATTACAATTTGGATTACAATTCAAGATGAGATTTAGGTGGGGATACAGAGCCAGACCAACTACCAAAGCTGAATTTTTCTACTCAATATGCTTTAAGAACCTTGCATATTTCCCCAACAAAACAAAAGAGCCTAGCTCCATAAAACAGCCTAGCTCCATACAAGAGCATACTTAAGCAGCCTATCCAGTACATATTTTAATGTTATTTTTATATGGAATATATAAGCTTTACTTTTTTTGTTTTTAAAGTTTGAGATTTTTTGCATTCTCTTTATTCCTTTTTTTGATTGAGATAAAATAGTGAAAACTGCACAATCTTTTTTTTAAACCTATCTACTAGACGTGCCCACTGTGAACTGAGCACTCCATATTTTCAGAATTGTATTTATGCTTATTAGTTTGGATAGGTGAATTACTATGAGAAACAGACAAAAATACAGTCATGTAACAGCCCTAAGTGAGTGAGGTTTACTTCTTCCTCATGGGACAGTACTGGATGGATGAGTGGGGCAGAGAGCAGCCACATCCAGGCAGTCACTCAGAGCCCCAGGCTGCTGGAGGCACAGCCATCTTCAGCTCTGAAGGGCATCTCCATTCCTAGTGTGCTGAATGACATACGGCTTTTCTTTCTTCCAATGTCTCCAGCTTTCTGGCAGCATAGTTAGCCTCCTGCATGTTCGGGCCATAAATGATTGCTTAACTCAAAACAGTGTGGCTCAAATTCACCTTCATAGGCATGCTTGAAGACATTCAAATTTGGACACCTCTTTCACCCTTCTCTGATTAGATGTTCTTTTGTACTCACTTTTGCTGCCCTTCCTTTCTTCCTATCTTTGAATAGATTTTACTAGCTGCATTTGCTTCTTGTGTTACCTCTGTCGATTGATTGATTGAGACAGAGTCTTGCTCTGTCACCCAAACTGGAGTGCAGTGACACAATCTCAGCTCACTGCAACCTCCGCCTCCCGTGTTCAAGTGATTCTCGGGTCTCAGCCTCCCGAGTAGCTGGCATTACAGACAAATACCACCACGCCCGGCTAATTTTTGCATTTTTAGTAGAGATGGAGTTTCACCATGTTGAACTCCAAACCTCAAGTGATCCACCCGCCTCAGCCTCCCAGAGTGCTCACAAGCATGAGCCACCAGATGCCTGGCTGTTCTCTCCCCATTTAGCTAAACTACTGGCAGTCTACGACCACTCCACCCCTCCACCTCTACTTCCGGAGAGACTTTTCAAACGTCAGTAGTTTAGCTAAATGGTCACAGACCATTGTGAGCAAGTGGTGAGCTGCTACCTTACCTCAGAAAGCAGCTTCTTTTCCCTGGTGTTTTCTTGTGGGAGCTCTCATTCATCTTTCTCCTTTCTAGCTCTTACCTTTCCTTCCAGAAAGCCATCTCCTCTTCCATGTTTCCTTCTCTTCTTCCAGCCTCCGTGTAAGTTGCCAGCTTCATTTAATCAACTGTTACTAGCAGCTGCATTTCGTTTTCCTTTTATTCGCTACCTTTTCAGCTGACCCAGGTGGGCTGCATTTTCTTTCATTGTGACGTTCTCTCGGACCACTCACTCAACATTACTTGTTCAACAATAGTCTTCTGTGAAGCAATTTTCCAGACTGCAAACCCCACTCAGTTCCCAAACTCCTGAACCTAGTTTACATTTGTTTGTCTCTGACACAAGTTCAAACCTTCCCCGCCCAATGGAAAGCTCCAGCAAGGAGTTTATTGCTCATCCTGGAAAGAGAGGACCACCTCAACAGAGACTGCTAGTCTCTGGAGGGGCAGGGTGGGAAAGTTATGAGATTTTGGAGTAGGGTGGCCAGCTGTCACACTTTGCCCAGGACAGAGGGAATTCCAAGGACATGGGCTTTGCATTTTAAAGCCCGGCCAAAAAATGAAAGACTGTATAAAGAGGGTATTTCCATGCAGGGTCTTGGTTGGGTAAAAATCATGACATAATAGTTTAAGATTAGCATAGTGATGATTTTGAAGTGAGGAGTTCTAAGATCTTGGGGAATAAACTGTTGATGCTTACTGTTGATGCTTTCTGTTGAAGCATTGATGGTTCTTTGTTTCAAAAACTCTCTGTAATGAACAATAAAGCAATTTGCCTGGGCAAGAGTCTCCTGGAATAGTAGTTATGTTAATGAAGACAATGGACCGGTAAGGGTATATTATTATAGACAGTAAGCTGTGTGTGTAGGCAGGACAGAGGTAGCTGATTTCTGTTCTCACCATCCTTTTTTTTCCAAGGTCTATTTCATATTCAGTGTCCTTAATTGAAATACCTAATCCAGAGATTTTTTCTAATTTTGCAAGAATGTCGCAATATCGCCAACCTCAAGTCCCTGATGTCTGTTCTAGCTTTCACTGCACTTATAACAATAATAAAAACAGTATTTATAGAGCCCTCACTATGTGAAGGCCACACATAAAATCCCTCGTGAATATCATTCAGTCCTCACAAGAGTCCCATGAAAGAGATTCTGTTAATTGTTCCTTTTTTGCAGACAAAGAAACTATGGCTCAAAGAGGCCAAGAAACTTGTCCAAGTTCATGTAATTAGAAGTGGCAGAGCCAAGATTCTATCTCAAGTCCATCTGGCTATTCAGAAATAAAATGGAGTGAACTCCTAATTCACATTACAACATGGATGAACCTCGCAGACATTATTCTAAATGAAAGAAGGCAGACAGAAAAGACTGCCCATTATATGTTTATGTAAAGTGTCCAGATAAGGCAAATTTATAAAGATAGAAAACCGATCAGTGGTTTGTAGGCGTAAAGGATCTAGTGGAGACTGATGGCAATGAGCCCATGGTTACTTTTATCATTGATAGAAATGTTCTAACCTGTGGTGATGGTTTCACAGTTATGTTACTAAAAATCATCAAACTGTATGCCCATATACAATGTTTGAAATTTATGGAATGTAAATTATTTTCCAGTAAAACCTTTAAACAGTTACAGAGGTCACATTCTGAGCTTTCTGATTGTCATCACCAGTGACTGGATGCTGGTTCCTTTAGGTGTCATTCCTAAGGAGAAATATTAAGGTTTACTGGGTTCTTATATACTTTTCATGTAAGCACAGGGAATGCCTTTAAACCCTTTTACTCAATTTACCTATGTTGAATATGTTTAATTTAGCCAGTGAGAGTTCATATCTAACAATCACTTATTTCTCTAACTGTGCATTCTTGATCAGCATTTATATAAACCTAAGAATGTAAGTTACTGACACACGATATCACACCATACATGCAGAAGAGTCTTAAATTGCTGACACGACAAAATACACCCAAGTGAACTGTGAAGACTTACTACTTCTGTATATCTAGTGTAGCAATGACAGAGCCTCACTGCCCATCTTGCTATGCTGTCGTTCATCATAAAATTCCCTCAACCTCCCACTCCAACACTTATTGTCTTGGCCAAAATACTTACAAATAATAAAGATATTTGTCTTCAACTCCTCACCAAATCATTAGAGGGGTTTTTTCTTTTTTCCCTAAATCTAAAAGAAAAAAAAAAAACCTCTGATACTACAATTAAGAGAAATGTAGCTCATGCATTCAAATGGACAAAAACCAAGCCGACAACGCAAGAGAACTGACCAGCCATTGGGTCCCCGTGAGGAGACAGGATTAGTTTGTTGTTGATGGGACTCCTGGCAACTACAGTCCCTGTGGTACCACATAAACGTATATTTTTCTCATGAACATTTGTTAAACCTGATTTATGTTGTTTTGTCTTTGATAAGAACAGATACAGCTGTATTATAATGTCTGTGTTCCTTGTAACTTACACAGAGAAATTCGGAACGCCAGGAGCTTAGCTTACATAGACCCTGATGCCCTCAAAGAGCTCCCCCTCCTAAAGTTCCTGTAAGTATTAAATCCTCTCCCATCCTACTTTTTTTTTTGGTGGGGAGGGGGTCAGATTTTAATGCTGTTGCCTTCCAGGAATCTCCCTAGGATGATGTGGTCCAGGTTCACTTTCACAGTGTATATCCTGGGTCAGGGCAAGGTATCTGGTAAAATCATTCATGTTTTTTAAAACCTGTTCAAAAGTCAGCACATAGTGCTGGGACCAGAAACCCACTCCAAGAGACAGGAGGGAGGAAATGCTATCATGTGTATGTGGTCCTTAAATGTAGTATCTCAGAACAAAACAAAACAAAATTCTGAGAGCCAGTTGGTCAATTTTGTTTGAAATGGGTATCACACCAATATAAGAGTGACGGTTACACAGGAAAAAAAAAAAAAAAAAAAAAAAAAAAAAAAAAAAAAAAAAAAAAAAAAAAAAAAAAAAAAAAAAAAAAAAAAAAAAAAAAAAAAACCCACAAAGGGTAAAATGCACTTTTGGCGGGGGGTGGAGGGAAAAAAGAAGGGATAACAGTTTCAACCTCCTACTCCGGCACTCAACTGTCCAGCACTCACTGCTGGCTTTGGTAACATCTTATGAGCCGACCATAAGCTCCACGAATCCAGGGACCACAATACTTTTTTTCTCTGTTGAATCTTTACTGCCTAGTACAGAGTAGGTGCTCAGTAAAAATGTGTTCAATGCACGCGTCTGCATGACCTCAGGCCCTCTGGACCCCAGGTAGAAGAGTCCTTTTTTCTGCTTGCATGCATTAAAAAAATTAGAAAACAAAAACAGTATGTAGAAGAAACTTTTTTTAAAAACTTAATCCCAATACCCCAAAATAAGGACTATTTACATTTCAGTTCATCTTCATCCAGACCTTTAAAACAAACTTATGTAATCACAGATATTTTCTGAGATAAGCCTTTAAGGATGAATAGAGGGTATGCTGAACAAGAATGGGGAGAGACAGAAAAGAAATATAGCTGGTGGAATAGAATGATAAAGATGCAAAGGCAGGGAACCACACAGCTTCTTTGGGGAACTAAAAATAGTTGCATATAGATATATATATAGATATATATTTTGGAGATGGAGTCTTGCTCTGTTGCCCAGGCTGAAGTGCAGTGGTGCAATCTTGGCTCACTGCAACCTCTGCCTCCCGGGTTCAAGTGATTGTCCTGCCCCAGCCTCCTGAGAAGCTAGGATTACAGGCATGCACCACCATGTCCAACTAATTTTTGTATTTTTAGTACAGACAGGGTTTCACCATGTTGGCCAGGCTGGCCTTGAACTCCTGACCTCAGGTGACCCACCTGCCTCAGTCTCCCAAAGTGCTGAGACCACAGGCGTGAGCCACCGCGCACTGCCATTAGTTGCATATGGAAGAGGTGGGTGTGAGAGATGCCAGGAGAATAAAAGACACTGATGGGATATGAAGATGAAAGGATATCTGGAAAGCCATGAACACTTACAGAACAAGACAACCAATCTTCTTATGGACTCTGAGTTTCAAATAACTTAATAACCCTTTGATGTGATGATCCCCCAGTATATACTCTGTGGGGTACACACAGGTTTCTAAGACCTTGTCCTTGCCTGCAAGAAGCTTAAAATCTAGTTGTGGAGATGTGTATGAAATTGAATAGTGCCTCTCCTGCAGAAGAATAAAGGACAGTGACAAAGGCGAGACATAGACAGTGTTTGGGGGTTCAGGTAATTAGAGAAGACATCAGAAAGAAGACCCATAGGATGGTTTTAGAGGATTTGTTTGAGGTTTTTGAAGAATAGAAATGCCTTGGTCTAAATACTTGACTCTTGGACCTTTTTGCCTCCTACTATTCGTCATGAGCCTCTATTGCAATTGAACTAGTTTGTTTACTGTATTTCAAATATACCTTATAGAATCTCACCTCTCTCCTTTGTTATCTGAAGTGTCCCTCCCATTTGCTCGTTTTGAGACCTCGTGTTCCTGCTGCCTCTTCAAATCCTACGCCTTCTTCTCTAGAAGGAGTCAAGTCTGAATTTGCCTCAGAAGGTGTATATAGTTTCTCTACCAGAAGACTTTCTCTAAAGCTTTACTGGGTAGTGTCTAGGTCTCACTCTATGTTGTGCCAAATTCTCAAAAAAAATTCTAACTACATTCTAGTAGCAGCAACGAATGTTAAGCCAACTAAATCTGGGAGGCATCAGGAGCCTGAGAATTCTTGTGCTCATAGTGTTTTATGTATGTCTTTTAATCTTAACACTTTTCCTTAAATGATGTAAACTTCAGAAAGTAAATACATTGTCTTTGATTGGTTTCCTTCCTCTTCTGGACATTTTTTTTTTTTTTTTTGAGGCAGTCTCGCTCTGTCGCCCAAGCTGGAGTGCAGTGACATGATCTCGGCTCACTGCAGCCTCTGCCTCCCAGGTTCAAGTGATTCTCATGCCTCAGCCTCCCAAGTAGGTGGGATTGCAGGCACATGCCAACACACACAGCTAATTTTTGTATTTTTAGTAGGGACAGGGTTTTGCCATGTTGGCCTGGCTAGTCTTGAATTCCTGGCCTCAAGTGATCCACCCACCTTGGCCTCCCAAAGTGTTGGAATTACAGGTATGAGCCACTGTGCCCGGCCCTCTGGACATTTTTTTTTTCTTTTGTGAGGCAGACTTTTGCTTTTGTTGCCCAGGCTGGAGTGCAATGGCACAATCTTGGCTCACCACAATCTTCACCTCCCGAGTTCAAGCAATTCTTTTGCCTCAGCCTCCCGAGTAGCTAGGATTACAGATTTGTACTACCAAATCCGGCTGATTTTTGTATTTTTAGTAGAGACGGGGTTTTACTATGTTGGCCAGGCTGGTCTTGAACTCCTGACCTCAGGTGATCCCCTAGTCTCAGTCCTTCCAAAGTGCCAGGATTACAGGCGTTAGCCACCATGCTCAGCCCCTCTGGACATATTTTTTAAAATGGTACTGCTATAATGGCACTCTCAGGTCACTGCTGTAGGAAAGCTGTTCTTGGCAAAATAGCAGCACAATGTAATGTGGAGCTTGGAAGAAGAGGCTGGCTTAACGTCATCATATCTTCCTGTCCTATCCTTTTCTTAGCCCTTCACTAACACACACAAAATTTTCTCCAAATAAACAAGAAAATCTCTCTCTCTCTCACCCATACACATACACACACACACACACACACACACACACACACACACACACACGAAAACTGAATTTATATTTTTAGTAATCCCACTTGGTTAAAACAATCTCCAGAGTATTCTAAGCCAAGCAGATGCATTGACACCGGCGGACTGGATTTAATTATTGCGCCTTGAGGAAACATCATCTCATCTAACCATCAAAACTTGCCCGCAGTCACTCAGATATTTAGTGAAGGAGTTGGGATTTTGATTCCAGGCTGACTTCAGAACCCATGCTTTCAACTATTACCTTATTCGTCTTCCTATGTGTTGATTTTCTTACCTAAATTCTATGCTTTTTTCTTTTTTTCATTAATTTAGTGGCATTTTCAACACTGGACTTAAAATGTTCCCTGACCTGACCAAAGTTTATTCCATTGACATATTCTTTATACTGTAAGTATGCACACATGTCATGTTTGACAGTATTTTGTTTGTCACTGACAAGAACTAGAATACAGTCGTGGGGGTTGGTTGAAGCCAAGTAAAGCCATTGTTTCAAGGAAAAGCAGTGATCAGCTGTGGCATGAAGTAAGGCAAGGACTGAGAAATAACCATCGGCTTCAGCAGCGTGGGTTGTTGGTGACTCTGCTAAGAGCAGTTCCAGTGGGGTGCTGGGAGTGGGGAATCTGGTCGGAGTGGGCTCAAGAGAGATTTGGGTAGACAGAATTAGAAAGAGTCACCATAATTAACTCTTTTGAGAAGTTTTACTATTAAAAGGGAGCAGAAAATATCTCAGTAATTGGAGGATAGTCAGGAGAAAAGATTTTGTTTGCATGTTTCGTTTTAAATGGAAAAAATTATGCAATACTACTTTGCCGATGGGAATGGTTGAATAGAAGGAGGGTCTGATGATAACTATGATACCCTATTTTTCATATAGTTGTAATAGGTCTTTAAACACTTTCCCATACATGACATTTGCTCCTCTCAGCCACCTTATAAGGTATAAAACAAAGTTATTCCTCTTCCATTTATGAATGAGGAAACTGAGGAATAGAAACCTCAAGTGATTTTGTCTGAGCAGTGTCTCAAGGAACAGTCAGGAGTGGTACTCAAATTTCTGCTGTGACCTCTGATTGGCAGCCATGTGCTCTTTTTCTAAACTTGTGACAGGAGTCAGTTGTCTTACCTAATTTTATAGGAACGAAAGGACATACAGCAGAGAGAATTACCAGTTGAGTTTGCCTTAAAGAGTCAGCAAAAGGTAGAGTTATAAGCTTCAAACTCTTGGAGTTTTGCTAGAAAAAAAAATTGATCATACTTCTTTGCTGCAAAAGAGCTCAATTCAAAATATAAGCAGTCTTCCAGGAACTAGAATGGTGTAGAAAGGTTCTCCAGGAGCCTGGCAAAGTTGGCAAGTGAAAGGCATTTTAGAAATACTCATTAAATGAAATCCATTAATCCTTTTATTCCGACCTTCTTAAAGGTCCATGCATGTAGAAAACTCTAGTGGTTATGGAAAAAGGGTTGCAGATTCAAGAGAAGCCTCTGAGATCCATCTGCCTCCCTTGAGATGAGGATTAAGTCAGGGACCTCTGCCCCCACCTAAAGCTCTCTCACTTACCCCACACTTGGACTCTAGGTACATGTCATCTAGGACAGCTCTCACCACCTCACCAGACCTTAACCACTAGTGGTTAAGAAGGGTCAGTAAAACTCAACAAGAAGTAAGATTAAGCTATATTGTGTCTGTTATTTATTAAAGTGCATACGTGCAGCCAAACCCCTTCCAGAAGGAAGCATTTTTTCATTAAGTGTTTTTGTCCCTCTCTCTTGCAGTGAAATCACAGACAACCCTTACCTGACATCAATCCCTGTGAATGCTTTTCAGGGACTATGCAATGAAACTTTGACACTGTGAGTATTACCAGTTCTACTCCCTCCAGTAACTAAATTCTATTGTGAGTCATTTTCATATGTATACAGACCATCCAAGAGCCATGCAATCCTATCATATATACTCTATAGAGTACAATGTGTTTTACATAATTAGAGCATTGTCTTACGGGATGTTACTCTGCAGACTACAAAAGAGTTTAGGAAACAAGATAAGAGGATTCTATTATGGCAGTGTGGTTGGTAACATTTTTCACATAAAGGACTGGGTAGGCATTACAGACCATGCAACCTCTGTAGGAACAGGTCAATTCTGGCATTGTATGGCAAAAACAGCCATACTCAATACATACACTAATGAGCATGTCTGTGTTCCAATAAAACTTTATTTATAGAAACAGGTGGTGGACTCGATTTGGCCTACAATTATTATTACGGAATAACCATCTGTATCCAAATATCCCCATTTTACAGAAGAAGAACTGGGGTTTAAGCAAATTGAAGTGACTTTCCCAAGATCGCTGAGTTTAAAAAGTGGCGCCATTAAGGGCTTTATAAATTCTGCACTCACACTTTTACTCAGTGATCACACACTGTTATTAAGCGCCTATAAGGGGATATTAAGTAGAAAGCATAATGCTGCCAGAGGTCAGCATTTTTCCAGAGCTCAAATGGTGGTAATGCTCTTTAGATGGTCAAAAGTAGATGCTTAATTAGAGATATTCACAAAAATGTTCTAATGCAGAAGATCTAATAGAGGTACAAAGGATAAGTTAATTCTCCAAGCTGTTAGAAAATTCCTGCCTCATTGTATAAGCCACAAAGTAGAGTTGGAGCTACCTCTGCAGGATCTCCTCTCTATTTTCAGGGCCACTGCCCAAGTTCAAGCCTGATGAAGTTTTTTCCTGGATTGTCACCCCAGTTTCATTTTTTGCTCACACTAAAGTTGGAGTGGGGGGCTCTTCACAGATACAAACCTGATTAAATTACTCCCCAGAAACATGGATCCAAGCTTCATACAGTTTTTCTAAGAGACTATCTTCTGAGCCCTTCCTAGTTTATCAGTTTGGGCCCAGTGAAGTTACCTCAACTTCTGGAAGCAGTGCAGCATTTCAGCTGATCCTTCTCATCACAACATGGTGAGAGGTCTCTTTTAAAGAAAAAAGAGGCTCCTTCTCGATCATAATTTCTTCCTATCATGCTTAAAAGACCCAGGCTCTTAGGCTGCTCAGCCTCAAACCTCAAAGCCATTTACTTCTTCAGTAAAGCTTTCCATTGTGCCCTACAGTGCTCATCATAACGAAACTCCTACATGCTAAACTTCTTTACTATCTGTGGACACCATTTTTCTAAAAACCCCATATCTCAAGCACCCCTCTCAAGTGAAAGCTCATTATTCCACATCAAGCATGGAGCCCAGGATGCATTCTATAAACATCTGAATGAAGGAAGCCCTTATTTCCTAAAACGTAGAGGAAAGGATGGCATAGATTATTCATGATTATTCATGATCCTTTCAGATGATTATTTCTACATTTATGCAAAAGTCCTTGTTTCTTTGAAGCTCAGGCTCAAAAAACTATCAACATGAAACAATGCATGTTCCAACAGCTGACTTCGTACCTGTATTCCTGGTAGAGGAAAGTTTCAATCAAAGTTTGTAATTCTTTGATCTTTCTTTACCATATTCCCTTTTCAAGGCCAAATTGTTCATTAAGACCTCTATTTAATATCTGAAATGCAACTCAAACAAGTATTTTTAATGTCCAGGGCTCTCAACAAATTTAGAAAAATAAAAATGCCAAAACAATTCTCGCATCGTCATAAAAGAGTTCTAGTTCAGAAAAAATTAATTTACGTAGTTTTCTCAGCCATTGTACTTATATTCCTGGGATATTGCAATCCTCAGCCAGGACATGTTAGTAGCTGTCATTGAACTCACTATGTAATTATTTAAGACTAAACAAAAATAAACATCAACAACAACAACAAAGCTGTGAGAATCTTTCTCAGTTTTCCACCACCATATGGGATAAATCCAAGTTTTAGGATACTTTATTTATTTATTTATAGTATTTTTTCTGAGATGGAGTCATGCTCTGTTTCCCAGAGTTGGAGTACAATGGTGTGATCTTGGCTCACTGCAACCTTCACCTCCTGGGTTCAAGTAATTCTACCTCAGCCTCCCAAGTAGCTGAGATTACAGGCCACACCAACTCCTTTTAACATGGTCATCTCATAAGTGTTCCTCACTTTGTTAAATATATAGTTATTTGATCCTCTCAGCAACCTTTTTATTGGGTATTACATTTATGCACTTACTTATATTTTTAGAAATAAAGAAACTGAGGATAAGACAGGTTGAGAAATTCTCAGGATCAGCCAACTATTAAGTGGCAGAGCCAGGTCTAATTCCAAATTTGAACTTTCCTGTATGCTTCTTAATGTGTTCCCCCAAAGTTCACATGTGGTAGATTACTGTAGTTTTCAAAGTTCCCTTACAACTGCCACTAAGAGTTCCCACTAGCAGTGCCTGCGTGTGGTCATAGCTGTCTTCTCTTATTTTCATCCCAATAACCACCAATAACTTCTATGAGTTCCCATACAGCTCAGAGATCCCAAGGCTGGGGCCTGTCTCCTGCAGAAAGGGGGGCTGCTTTTTGTAGGTGGAAATAACTATATTTGAGGTCAGCTAGGCACGGTGGCTCATGCCTGTAATCCCAACACTTTGAGAAGCCAAGGCAGGCAGATCACCTGAGGTCAGGAGTTTGAGACCAGCCTGGCCTACATGGTGAAACCCTGTCTCTACTAAAAAATACAAAAATTAGCCAGGCGTGGTGACAGGCACCTGTAATCTCAGCTACTCAGGAGGCTGAGGCAGGAGAATCACTTGAATCCAAGAGCAAAGGTTGCAGTGAGCAGAGATCATGCCACTGCACTCCAGCCTGGGCAACAGTGCCAGACTCCATCTCAAAAAAAAAAAAATCATATTTGAGGTCAGGGATTCTGAGTCTCAACAGTCCTAGACCACTGTGTTTTTGACAAGTCACCTTTATGTCTCAGTAACTTCAACAGGAAATACAAGTAATAACATTTCAGACTGGCTCCCTGAATCATTGTATGAATTAATTAGTCACAGAAATATAGCAATAAGTTAAAAAACATTAACGTTTCCAGACCAGTGGCTCATACCTGTAATCCCCAGCACTTTGAGAGGCTGAGGCAGGCTGATCACTTGAGCCCAGGAGTTCGAGACCAGCCTGGGCAATGTGGGGCAACCTCATCTCTACAAAAAGTACAAAAATTAGCCAGGCACAGTGGCACATGCCCCAGCTGTTTGAGAGGCTGCGGTGGGAGGATTGCTTAAGCCCAGGGATTTGAGTATGCAGTGAGCCATCATTGAGCCACTGCACTCCAGCCTGGGTGACAGAGTGAGAGACCCTGTTTCAAAAACAAAGCCAAAAAAATCCATAAGAGGTCATGGTCTATCTGCTTTCTTAGATTCATTTATAAGGTTTAATTTAATTCAGCCCATAACCCTTAAACATTTAATCTATGATAAGTTCTGAGGACAAAAAGATGAATAAAATACAAAGGTGAAATAATATTTTAAATATTAATAGAAAAATTAAAAACATATGCATTTAGATGAATGTCTTCAAAATGTTTATCTTAAGAGACTGCGGTTGCTCCTCCACTATTGATATTGGGTTAACTATTACCTGAAATCCCTTTTTCTGGATGTATGTGAAATATTCTTTTAAAATCTTTAATGGCAATGAGCTTTGTTCAAAGTAAATATGATTCTGAGAAACAGCTTAAATGTACTAGGAGCTAGGTCAGGAGAATGGGCATTCAAACTGAGAAACATTATCTTACTTGTTTCCAGCAAGTTGTATGGGAAAGTTTTCTTGTGGGGTACATATGTGGGACCTGAAAAACCTTTATGCACATTTATGACACTGAAGAAATAAAGCCCAACTCTTCAGAAACAGGCCAGCACCACTGCTCACCAGTCACTGATTTCTCTTCTCTCTGTTGGTTGTAGGAAGCTATACAACAATGGCTTCACTTCAATCCAAGGACATGCTTTCAATGGGACAAGGCTGGATGCTGTGTAAGTCAAGGGTAGCCATGAAAACTGTCACTTCCCCTCACCCTAAGAAGAACCATCCTATGGGGCAGAATTCTGTTAAGAGATAGGTTCTATCAGAGCATCTTCCACCCAGAGTTTGTATGACCAACATGGAAATGAGGTCAAGGAACTTGGCAGGGGCCCACTTTAGTGAACACTTAATATTGGCTCCAATCGTAAGTCCCAAAGCTTTTATCCCTGATGTGTATATGTGTGTCTGTGTGTGTGTGTGTGTGTGTGTGTGTGTGTGTGTGTGTAAATGTTCATCTATTATGTACATGAAGTAAAATGTATTTTTAATGAAGTCCAAAGCTGTTCAGAAAATAAGGTGTTTCCTCTTCAGTCCTTTCTGAACATGTTTTTGGGAAAGATGTCAGTTTATATTTGATTCACTCAGAAATAGCTGAAAAATCATATCCAACTTTTGCCTTTTCAAAAAATAAATAGTGCTGGGAACAGCTGAAACAGCAAACAATGGACTTTGCGTTTGATGTGTTTGATAACACTTCTTGAGTATTTCTTTACAAATGATATATTTTTTCTATTTGTTGTTTTTTCAAATTTACCTGCTCATTTTTGGTAGTGTCTTGTTATGTATTCATTTTTGTAAACTGATTATTTTTTCACTTTAAATATAATATAAAATTACTATATGAAATGTTAAAAGTACCTAGTACTTTACATAATTTTTCATACATAGTAATTACATACATAGTAATTTTATATTCCAGAAATGATCCCTGCAAAATCTGAAGGCCTTATTATGACTCAAAATCTGTTGTGTACAGGGCTTCTCAAACTTTCCTGGGCATGCAGACCATCTGAGGGGTATTATCAAAATACATACTCTGAATCCGTAGTTCTGGATTTGGCCTCAGGATTCTGTATTTCTAACAAATTCCCAGCTGATGCTGACACTGCTGTTCATAGAACACACTTTAAGAAGCAAGGGTGAGGTCAATAAGCTGTGGAACCCTATGCAGTGGCTCTGGATGGAGAAGAACACGCATGTAGATTAAGTGATTTTGGTTGACATTCTGGTTTAGGGGTTAGGTGATAGGTTCTGGAACAATTCCATTTTGAAATAGTAAATGGTAAACAAGTGTTTGAAGTCATTACGCTGAGGCAAGGCTCCCTGAGTTCTGTTTGAAGTAAAGCCTCACTCTTTGCCGACTTTTGTGCTTCCTTCCAATCTTTATGAAATGAAGAGCGACAGTACCATTCTCTCAATTGCCTGGTTGTGGAGTCATAATGGTTCATTTCCATTATTTCTTAAAGTCAGTAATTATAGGTGAAGTCCAAAAAGACTCAATAAAGTGATACTTACCTCTCTAGTTTATTTACAGAATTGGAAGGACCCTCATTCCATCTTAACTTTATGATACTAACCTCTTACAATCTTTCATCTACTTTTCTACCTATTTATTAGACACTTACAATGTACCAGGGCCTGTGCTATTTGCTGGGAAAACAAAGAAACAAAGATGAATAGGAGCCATGTGCTCCCTGCCCACACTGAGCATACATTCTGTAGGGGTCAGTTCAAGGGCAGCAATTTCAGAGGTCAAAGTACATTAGGGAGAAGTGTAGCCAACCCAAAATATGCATCTCAGGGAGAAAATATGAAGCCTAAATATCGAATAACATTGCCTTCCTTCTCTGGAGATACAAGCCAGATTTTCTCTAGATTTAGCTCATTGTTTTTTTAAATCATTATTAAAATTAATGTTTTAAAAGTGAATTGCCCTATATCCCAGGTTTCAAGTTCTTTTTCTAATCCAGCATTCTGGAAAGGTGGCATTTGATTTTAATATTGTGTGAATTTCACCAAATATTTTCCTCTTTGATTCAACTATTCTTAGAAAACTAGGAGTAATGATCTTCCAAATTCAAATTTTCTATGAAGGGAGTACGGAGACTTCTTAAAAGAATGAAGATAGTTTGTAGGTACTTAGGGTATAGAGATTTCAGACGACTGTTACACAGTTCTAGACATAGAGTGCATCAAAATGTTAGCACAAAGACTCACATTAGCAAGGGCAGGAATATGAGACAGTAAGGAAATCTTCAACCAAGGAAACCAGAGCTGTCAATATGGCTCCTGAATTCAGTGTGTTCAGCTGACTCTTGCCTGATCTAAAACTGCCTTTCCAGAATGGTGGATTAGAAAAAAAACCCAAAACCTGGGATATAGGGTAATTTATTTCTAAAACATTCATTTTTCCACAAGCAAAAAGATTTTGAAGCCTAAAATAAGAATCTATGCTTCAAATTATCTGCCTACTTCTCCTGCCATATTTAGCCATTGGAAGATATGACCCTCAAACACTATGAGTTATCATTTATTAAAGACAGAGTGTAAAATTCAGATCTTAAGGTCTACAGAGGCAATAGTTCTCAACACTGGGAGTTTTGAAAGCACTAATGCCTAGGTTTTGCTCTCAGACATTCTGGATGTAGCCAGGATCCTGGGGATTTAAAACTCTCCAAGTGAGTCCAATACAGAGAAAAGTTGAGAACTATTGCTGCAAAATACATGCTCTATCTTCTTGTCCAATTGTCATATTTTACATATGGAGGGAATGAAGCCCAACAGGAACATGCGGCCTTTTTTTTCATGGCTGTTTAAATTTGATAGAGCTGCCTAGTGGCCAAGTCAAAACTGAGACCTGGGTCCCCTGATTCAGGACTCTTTTCCCTGCCCTCTGCTGGGATTCATCATGGCTGACTTACCAGCCACCACCAAGGTGTGGACACCCAGCTCTGGCAAGTGCCGCTTGTTTCTTAGCCCTGAAGATTGCTTAGATTTCTTAGCTCAATCTATTAAAGGCCCTAAATACAGAAGTTAAAATATCTTGCTCCCGAAAAGAATGGGATCATGTGAGAGAAAGGAGGCAACTCAAGGCATAATCAGAAGTTTCAGAGGACAGTCACATCAGGCAACAGCGCCATTAGTCCATGAGAACCTGACTTTACCAGGGCAGCAAGGCCGCTCATGAGCTTCCAGATGAAATCTGAGTCGGGGATAACTTGACAAAAAGGCTGGGATGATAAAACATTATTCAAGTCAAAGAACTGGTGTTGAACTTAGTTTATGTATACTGACTATTTTGCTGCAAAACGTCTCACTCCCCGCTCATGATTAGCCTCCTGGTCATGTATAGAAAACTCTGCAAAGACTTCAAGAGATTTTCAAAAGAGGTCTTCTGTCATCAGGAAGTGTTAAGTGTGCTAAGTGGATCTTAGTATAAGTCTAGCAGCTTATTTATTATCTTAGGACAAGCCATAAAATTAGCCACAGAATATCAAAGGAGTTTAGAGACATTTTCTATTGAAAGGATGGAAAAACTAACAAGTGAACAATAATTTCTCTTTGAGCTTCTCCTGAGCCTTCGTGGTAAGGGAAAGGATGGGAGAGGGGGAGCCTTGCTTTTTAAGCTGTATTTCTTCAACTTTCTTTCCTTAGTAAATTAATGGGTATTACTTTTTAAAAGAAGTTTATGATCTTATAAAGTTAAACAAGGTATATAGGTGGACTTTTCAGATCTTCTAATAAAATCATCTGAATTATTCATACCAAAGAGGGAGCCTTAGTTTGCAAAGCTTCCCAAGCGGTTCGCAGTTATAGGAGCCTCTCTCTGGTCTGGTGTTGCAGACTTTTGGGGGACATACTGCCTCTGAGAGTTAGGAAGAAAACCAAGGTGTTTTCCTACCATCACGTACTCAATACAACAATTTTGACACCAAATGTTTGAAGGATTTTTTTCCCCTCAACACAGCAAGTAATCAACTCTCCAACACACACCAGCTGGGTGTCCTACAATTTAACTCAATTCTGATACTATCTACCCGGAGGCAGCTATCAGATCCACAAGACTGCCTGCTGCTTCAGATGCCAGTCACAGGCCCCAGGTTGTGTCCTATGCTTCTGACTGATGAATTATAAAACAAGTTCAGGGCACAAGGTAGGAACCAGCCTTGAACAGGACGTCAGCCCATCATGGGACAGGAAAACACACACTGCCACACTCACTCCGACTGGCAACATCTAGACACACCAAGGAACCTGACATGCATATCTTTGAGATGTGGGAGGAAATTGGAATACCTAGAGAAAACCCACACAGTCATGGGGAGGGTGTGCACACTTCACACAAACAGTAGCTTCAGCCTGGAATGGATTTTTCTTATTAAAACTAAACAATTTGGGCAGGACATGATGGCTCACGCCAGTAATCCTGGCATTTTGGGAGACCAAAGCAGGTGGATCACGAGGTCAGGCATTCAAGATCAGCCTGACCAACATAGTGAAACCCCGTCTCTACTAAAAACACAAAAAATTAGCCAGGCCTGGTGGCAAGCACCTGTAGCCTCAGCTATTTGGGAGCCTGAGGTAGGAGAATCGCTTGAACCTGGGAGGCGGAGATTGCAGTGAGCCAAGATCGTGCCATTGCACTCCAGCCCAGGTTGGAGACTCCATCTCAACAAACAAACAAACAAACAAAAACGAAACAATATAGAATGAAACAATATTATTAGAGGACCTGCTGTATATAGAGAGAGACTCTCTACTTTCACACCGGCTTTCTCCTCAGACCGTATCATGGATTCTGTGGGCGGCGTGGCTGATGGCAGAATTATTCTGTCAGTGGCAATGGATTTCAATTCGCTTCTGCCATGACTTACCATCCAACTATCACTTGAAACATAGGAAAGAAATCAGGATACTATTTCGCAATACTTCCTTGACATTTTTATGTTAAGTATTGAAGTTATTTGGAAGAGTTTAACAAATGTGGAAACTATTTCTTGGTTAAGAATCTTTTGTTTCTTGGTTTCTACAAGTATAGATCAGAGGTCAGCAAACTTTTTCTGGGAAGAGCCCAGATAGCAAATATTTGGGGCTTTATGGGACATATGGTCTTAGTTGTGCTACTTAAGTCTGCCTTTGTAGCGTGAAAGCAGCCAGAGACAATATCTAA